TTAAATTCTACCTTTTGCAATTCTGTAGACCATTATTAAATGATAACAAAACAGAGGTGAGTATGTGCAAGAATATTCTATAAGATATAAACGCAGTCCTGTTTCATGGATTTTCAGATTTGTCCACTTTGTGTTCAAACTTTAAATTTCACATGCAGGTATCTCCAATTGGTCTAAAAAATCTAAAAATTTAGGTGATTATTTTAGCATTTGCATCAAAGTTTATATTTTACATCCCAATATTTTTAACTGCCCCATGCTTGCTACTTTTCCTGCCCTGTGCAAATTTTCCAGAAGGCAAGGCTTTTATAGTTTCTTTTTGTTTAATCAAACTGACAACAACAGATACAACAAGGTCTTCTGAAGTACTAAGACTATTCCCGAGATACAGTTCACGGAACGTACAAACTCTTGAATGAAATGAAAAAGGCCAAAAAAAAAATTATTTTGTTTCCCTCAGCATCGACCGAAAAATATGAAATATCGGGTCATGTTTTTTTGTTGTTTTTTAATAGGCTCACATATTGAAAACTCGCCATTTTAAGCAGTAAAAAATTGTTTCCTAACAAAAAATTAACGATCCTGGACCGTTGTTTGATCCCCAGGGTCCCTGGGGGATAAGTGGCGACTTTGAACCTTGAGTTGATCTGTATTTAAATACAAAAGACTGAAAGAAACACTTTGATTTTTGTATTTAATATCTAGCATGCATTTGATTGATTGCCATATACCTAGGCTATTCACGATACCCTTAGTTTTCACAAGTTTAAAAAAAAAAAAAAAAATCTGACCGACCGACCCAATTTTTCAATTTTCCAACTTGAGGGCAACATAAGTTTTTTTTTTTTTTTTTGGCCTAATGCCCCTTTCAAACTTACTTTTCACTTTCACCAACCCAGCTTGAAACCAAATCAGAACTGGACACACAATAGAACACTGAATCAATTTCCGAGGACACGGCTTGTGCAAGTCTTGATTTGCCAGTTCCGGGTGGACCATATAATAAAATTCGTTTCCATGGTTTTCTGCCACCTGAAAAGTAATGTAAACGAAATTTTAAGTGTACGTCTTGACTACCCTGAGTGCCAGTGTTGGCTTTCATGGCTGCCATAATGTTCAAACATTAGATGATGAAAGATATAAACAGCAGTTAACATCCTTGCTCCTGGAATAAAGAGATGTTTAACTGCGGCAAACATGAAAGTGAATGATAGGAGCTCAGCGCAATATTGCGTGTCGTGTCAATTTATGTGAGCAAGTGATTCCGCCACCTCTTTTACAGTAGTGTCTGGCACAATTCCTAGTTGCTTGTTCAACGCTCTACAAATTGTGGTACTTGGAATAAAATTCGACTTTTAAAATGCTACAGTGCAATTGTATTGGATTTAAATAACTCATCCCAGTTTTCGTATTTTCTGTATAAATACACTTCACTATGCATTTTCTTTGTCGGTACATAAAACATAGGTTTATTTTTACATTCATTTGTTAAATTGAAATTGGCAAAATGTTAACATTTGTGTTTCTGTACAAGCAAAATGACAAGTGTTTTGATATGTGATGTTCAGATTCAAGAATAGACATCTCATCAAAGAAAACACCAGAAATTCACGTCTAAGCTCTTTCTATTGTCTATGGTTACACATGATATTTACCGTACTCGACCGCGTTAGCACCCAGGGGCCTCAACTCAGAAAATCACGATTTTGTAGGGGTGGGCGCTTACCCGAGCACCCCCCTCGAAAAAGAGTGCAAACGAAAATTTTGATTCATCAAGTGACAGATTACGTCTTTGAGGAAAAATAAAATTACTAAATTAGTTGCGTCGTCATTGATTTTCACAATGAAGAAACAGAAATGGTCACAAAAAATACGCACATTTTATTACAATAATAATTACGTACCACCATAATTTACGGAATTAAAAACATTTAACTCTGTTGGAACACAGTCGAAGTCAAAATTGTCATATTATTTCCAATGACGAAGTCGTTGGATCGTACGCAAACTCTCGATGAAAATCACTTTCCGCCATGATGCAATTGCAGACTTGACCTACAGCAGCGTCCTTTGATCTAATGGGTCGTGTTGGTTATTAACTAATCAGAATGCTGTGTTGTACTGTTATGTATGGCTCAAGTTAAATATAAAATATTACAAACAGATTTAAATGTATTTTGATTTAGAAATTCAATTCAATAGCGCCCTCCACTGTGTCTGATTAAATGTGGTTTTGGCCGTTGATGGCGTTTTTGAATCCACAATGCTTTGCGTACGAAAGCTGAGGGTTTTGGTCACTTTTTGGTTTACCGTCGACATGTGTTGTTTATTTTCCTCTTGTTTCCCTTTCTTGAATTTAGAGCTTGTTTTAGGTGTCTTCTGTTTCAGGTCGTTTCAGTGATCCGCGAAATTCGTCAGTGCCGCCCGAAGTCCTTACCTGTACGCAATATCAAGACAAAGGAACGTCGCTCTGCAAGTTTCGTGATACAACAAAGACCGGCCACGTGGTGAAGACTCGTACGCCATTCGGACCAGCTGGAATGTACTTGACATTTATTTGATAAGTAGACCCTATTATTTCCTGTATTTTAGAGCATATCCTTGTAATGTAACTTTATTTATGCATTTGAGTGGTGTAAGTTAATTATATGTTTATGGCCGTATTATTAATTTATTTACAAGTACTATAAATGAAAGTAAAATATAATATCCCATACATTTGTGTCATTATTTGGTAATAGTCCAACCCGAGAAAAATAGGGGAATTTGTCCACCCTTGGCTTATAGTTGAAATCGTGACATGTACTGACGCAATTCTTCGGAAATTCTCGAAGACTTTCTGGTAACACAATGCGGAAGTGAATAATCAATGTCGAAGTACGATCACTGGAATTGATTTCAGCAAATAAACGACATGGTTTTTCCAAAAAAACTAGTAACTAGTCATTTTTGAGAGGTAAACTGAATATGGCATGAACTATTTACCGCATTTTACTTGTATTAACAGGTCATTGTCGAAGCGTAGTTTACGCACGGTTACCGTGTTCTACGCATTCACAACATGTTCACAGCGATCGATATCCACGCTGTATCATATAAAAACGATTATAAAGATTCGTTACGCAAGGCCAAGTTTTAAATTAGTTGCATTTTGAAGGGGTGGGCGCTTTGCCGAATGTGACCCCAAATATAAAAATTGCGCAAAAGTGGGGGGTGGGCGCTTGCCCTGGCATGGGCGCTAACGCGGTCGAGTACGGTATCTGAAATAGATCATCCCACCTGTGAATAAATGCGGATACTGTACAGGCATGATGATGGCTTCTTTTAGCGTCTGCTTAGCTTCAACAAGACCTGCAACATCATCAAACTTTATATGTCCTTTCTGTACTATGGTGTCGGCTATGGCGCAACGTAATTTACTTTTCTGATCACTGTCAGCTGCGGAATCTTTACTCTTGCTACCAGCATCTGTTGAAACAATAGTACACATGCTGGATTGGATCATTCAGCACAATGACTACGTATACTGCCCTCTATATTTCAATCAAACTCACAACGTCCAAGCACTAGTGTACAAAAGAGCCGCTTTTAGCTCACCAGACAAGGTCTGATTAACGCTTTAATTTGACTACAACAATAAGGAATGTATTTAAACAGTACGATCTACAGTACACTGGTCAGAACATGAATTCAGTCAACTTACCACTTGTACTGGACTGACTTGATACGGAGCTATCCAGCATGCAATCATCTAACTGTTCTTTCTTGGCTTTCAATACCGTCAAATGATTACATATGGCGATGCTCAGTTCATCCAATGCTTTCTGCAATGTACATGACAAGTGACCATTATTTACTGTCCGAATAACCTGGCTATCCAGGGACTGAAATAGAATTATTTCCCTGCATGCATAGTGTGCATGTTGAATTTGAAATTTACCTGCACTAACTTGTTGTGAAATGCACTACTTTTAAAGTTTAAATAAAATTTACGGGTTCTCGTTTGATGCGATCACGAAAGAATCGTTTTTTTTTTAGTTGTTTCACAATGTTGGTTGAACTTAATTGAGGCTTAGTGAATATAATGAAAAAATGTTGTTTCTACATGCACAGCGTGCACATTATATTTTGAGTTTACTTGCACTAGCTAATAATCTATGTGCATAATGCAGTGTGCACCATAGTATTTCGATCCCTGCTACCTCAGATGCAACATTCTGATCTTAAAAACCTGACAAAGGTAGGGGTTAGTCACTCTCTGTTTCTCGTTTCCGTGCGCATTATTTTGAACTATGTGCCTTGAATGTCTTTTTTCCTTCTAAAGCATTCCAAAATGCGCTTGTACTCTACTTGTCTCAAATTTCCCCCCTTTTAGCTCAGTATTAAAAAAAAAAAAAAAATTGCCATTTTAAAATTTCCATGGCCTTAATTATTATTGATTAATATGCTGCAGCCAGTGTATACTACATGTAAATCTAAGACACTATGCATATCATGCAGGAATGGATTCTCTATTCACTGTGAGATCACACGTATGACATGAAATTTGTGAACCAAACATTGCATGAGGGCGCTGCACCTGTTTCCTTGTTTAAAAACATTCCTGGCTGCAAAATTTGATTCTGAATTTCTTCTTTCAAAGCTCAATGTCAAAATGTCTACTAATCACTATTAAGAAATAAAAACATGTACAAAAAAATGTTTATGTAAAAATGAAGTCTACAATTTTGTATATACACAATGGATTTTGTTTTGGCAGAAGTCGTCTGACATGATCCACATTATATACTGTCAAATACTTTATTTTCACTTGGAATTCATTTTCACTATAGGAATAATTCAGTGAAAATAAAATCAGCGAATATATCTTTTTTTCTATATTTCACATTCAACTCATCAAAAATCAGTGAAAATAAACTCCATACATAACACCCAAAAAAGCATTTTCAGCAAAAATTCATTCCAGCTAAAATAATAGTTTACAGTATACAACATCATGAACTGGGATTACAAGAAAAGCATTCATGGTGGGACAAATGACAAACAACTTAATAAACATAATAACCCAAACATTTTGAGACATTGTTTATTCTTATTGCTGATAAATGATTTTTTTTGAGCTATTCATTAAAAAATTTACAATTAGAATTAATATTTCACTGTTATTAGTGAAGTAATAAACACCATTTTCTTTTTTCTTTGCAGGGGGATGTTCGGGCATAAGCCACCCCTAGTTGTTGGCAATTTTCCATGTTCAGGACCCTGGGCGCTTACCCAGACAACTACAATAAGTAATATGAAATTTGGACTGTGACCCCAATTTTGTATTTTTCACAAAGGATTTTGTACAGCAATAAGCTCATCCACAAATGCTGTCATAAAACTATACTGATCAACTATTAAACAAGATTTTTTTGTTGGTTTTTGCTCCACAGAATTAAATGAACAACGTATTTCACCATGTTCAATGAGACGCACATCCAACATAATTTAGTGAGATTACTGCTGTAGCTATGATAATAAAACCTACCTTTCTGACTGGATTCTTTTCAATCTGTTGAATACCCTCTATCATACGAGCACAATTCTCACAGTTTCTGATCAACATTTCAATATCCACATTGTGCGTCTTTCGGCATTCCTCGGCAGCAGCTGCTAACCTGATTTTATGCAAATTAGTTTATGGTTTGTTTTTTTCCTTGAATATTTGAATATCAATGATGTCACTTCTAACTTAAAGGCCCAGGTATACTATAAATACGCTCCTAAACAATAGGGATTATTTCCTTGCTTGTCACGCTGTAGTAAACAGCTCCAGCCAAGCTCCGGTAAAAACGTGTTTTCTCGAACTTACAGGTCGATTATGTCGTGCCAAAGTGGATGCATGTGACTATGAATATCACAGCAGTGACTGTGTGTAATATTTATGACAATAAATTGTGTACGAGCAGAGATTTTGGCGGATAAAAGTAAAAAACATGAACTGGGGAAAGGGATGCGCGACTAATCTTGAATAATTACTACTGTCAATCAAAGTCACGTGATGTTGGACCGCTGAAACAGGATGCTTCATAGGCTATGCAAGTGATTAACACCATGCATTAGAATAGCCACACCTCCAATTCACACTTGCCCTGGGCAAGTGAATTGGGCCTTTAATTGTTATAAACAATCACCATGCAAACCAGGATATGGATGTTCTTTGATTGATATGTTACAAAGAGAGACAAAGTCTTTTTGACTCAGTTTAACCATGGAAGTAAAAAACAGATTATGTTTTTACCTCCATGGTTTAACACAGGGGTGTAAAAATTTTAGAAAAAAAAAACTCAAAGATATCTAAGTTTAATCAATTATCATTAAAATTATTATTATTATTAATCATGCAAAAAATGGCACCCACACCTATTTTGTAAACAAACTGAACAGAAACTTTTTTTCTTTTCTTTTTTTTGCTGATAACTCTTGTACATTGTTGATTCAATCACTGCCAAAACAGAATTAATTCATGTCCAAAAGTGAGGGTCAACACAAGGTCAACAATGAACACATGTTTACACATGGCACTGGAAAAAAACATGTGTAGTACAGTACATTCAGCCACAGTCCCGTGATTCAGCACATTTAAAGCAGAATAATTAAACTGCACAAATGGAGTTGGGCAGTAGGAACCTGGGAGTTAGGGTGCTGTACAAAGGGTCAAGGAACAGTCACTGTGCATGTCAAAAACTGTAAATTACTTTATTTTCACTTGGAATTAATTTTTGCTATTTTCGCTGAGGAATGATTCAGTGAAAATATAATCCAGCGAAATATACCTTTTTTCCTATATTTTACATTCAACTCGTCAAAAATCAGTGAAAATAAATTTCCTACAAAACTAAAAAGTGTTTTTAGCAAAAATTACTTCCAGCTAAAATAAATTATTGTACAGTATCAGACTTTGATCAATTAGACAATTGTAAACTTTAATAGAATGGGGGTATGGCGATGGAAACATTTTTTTTTTGCAAAATGAA